AGTGAATTATTATCGAGCTATATTATTAGAAATAACAAAAGGATGTCTGTATATTCAAAATTTCATATCTGAAGCGAGTTTTTAAGAAATTGCTTGGGTTAAAGAAAAGTCGTTTTTCGAGTAGTATCCATGGATTGAAAGGTTTGGACGAGAACTTTGTTCTATAGGAATGATACATGTTGTTACCGGATTCAAAGGATTAGTCCGCCCTTCAAGGCCCAAGTAAGTCTCAATATTAACCTTAATTTTTTTTAAGGAATAATTTACTTTAATCTAATATAAACTACGATATGTGGGAAAGGAATTTGAATTGGCATGTACAGGTAAGCGTGTCACTCTAAACAATTTGGTTAGGTTCAAATATGCAACTTCATTAATATATGAAAACACATGCCAGTAACTAAGCTGACAGTTAGTTATAAAATTACACCTTTTTTTTTCCTTGGAAAATTTATAGAATTTATTATTACAATGGTTCTTGATTTTGGTATCTAAATATCAGTATTGGACCATTTAGTCCTCAAATATGCACTTGTGTTGTCCTATTGGTCATTTTCGTCAAGTTAATCTATATAAGTAACTTCGTCATCATCGATCTTCAAATTTAATGAGATCGCCAGTGGTCACCTAGTTTTATATTTTTTTTCTTTTTGGCCATAATCATAATTTAAAAAATTTATCATTCAATTTTCTAGCTTCAATCGACTCAAGAGCTCTTGCTAAACCCCTCAATCATTGCTCTCTTTCTTCTTGGATTAAATCATCTATTCTTTTCACAAATATAGAAAGTAGCTTTCTTAAAAGAAGTATTATTTTATTTTCTAATCATGGGGTTTAGTATAAACTTAAACACATTTCCTCATTTCACATGGGGTTTAATTTATGGGTTTGGAGATATTTTTCAGTGTGCTGTGAACATGACTCGATACACTGTGTAATAATACAAGTGATTGAAAATTTTATTTTTCAATTTTCCAACCAATTGTATTAAGACACTTGTGTATTGAATCGTATTTCCAGCACACTAAAATTTTTCTCATGGATTTGTCTTGTGTTATTGTTTCTTTTCTAATTTTGTTTTTCCTTTAAGCTTATTACTCAAAAGTCACATTGACCAAATTGTCTCTCGCTTTGGCTGCAAATATTATAATTAAAAAAACAATTAATAATTGCTACATGTAACATATTGATGTTGACTCCACAACATCCAATTTTTTTTTTTTTTATCAGGTAAAAAGGAACAAAAATATAACACTAAGTTATTTATTTCATATATGCAATTTTAGCTTTCGGAGTTAATTAAACTCTTTAACCAAATGATGACCAATCATATCCCACATGAAAATACAAGGAGAAAACGACGACTCACCAATCCGTTGAAGAAGGGTAGTTACTATGAATGTCCATTAAAATTCGATCCAATATGAAAATTTCGTTTTTTTATTCTAATTTTTCTTGATGCGGAACTCGTTGTGAGATACTGAAATATAATGATTAATATTTTGTATTTCGAAAGTGTGTTTATAATAAGGTTAATAATGTATTAAATAACATACTTTGTTATCCAACGTAGACTAGAATTGCAGACGAGAAGGATTAGTGACTAGTTGGTCAATGTCGTCTTGAATAAAAATTCAAATCCTTTTTGTCGTAGTTTAGACAATAATTTTGATTAAAATAAACATTAACTAACATTTGTCGTTTTTAATATTATAAAACGTGAATTAGTTATATCCAACGAGATTCCAAACTCACCATGATAAAAGAGTTCTTTCACTCAAAAACAATACTTTTCCCAAAATACTACCTCCAACTCCAACACTTCTATTTCCATTTTTCGGCCATTTCACCCTCTCTCTCTCTCTCTCTCTCTCTCTCTCTCGTTTCGTATTTTCTTCTTTTTTTGCGAATTTAGAATTGAAAAATACAGAGTAGGTTGCAGCAGGAATACAAAAACCTTCCATTTAACAGCAGCTGTTGGCATTTCTGAGCTCTGGAAATACAGAAACTCAGCTGTTTAGTGTTCAAGGAGGTTGGGTTTTGCTGGGCTCCAATGGCTCTCCTCTCCGAATCGGTAAGTTCCACAGTTCATTTTTCTAAGAACTTCAATTTCTTCCAGTTTTTTCTTCAATAATTTCGTCTGGGGCTCGAATTTATCTTCTGGGTCCTGTATGGTAGCTGAGAAAACTCGGGAAAACGAACAAACAAGTGGGAATTATGATTCACTGAGTTTTGAAAATGGCTGCTGTATAGGTCCAGTTTTTTCTATTAACATTGAACACTTCTTACACAGTTTTTAAAATAAAAAGCTTATTTATTTGTTAATTTTGGTGACGAATTTCTCTGCTTCCTCTCCACTAGTTGAAACTAGATCTGACTGTATACTCTGAGATCTGCACTGGAGCCTGTTGAATATAATGCTGCAACTCTGGTCAACGAAGTAGTTGCAATTCACGAAGATTAGAGTAGTTTAAAATATCGCTTTTGTGGTAAGAAAGACGATATATTTGTACGTATGTAGTTTGCGTTGAGCTTTTGTTTTTAATGCCACTGCATTTCATCCCTTTGGGTTCTAATGGCTTTTATGTTTACCCAAATTCACAGGCCGGAGGCAAGCATTGAGTGCATTCTGGTTATACTTTCTAAGGAAACATGAAATTTGAGTTAAAGAAGAGATGGAGATCCATTTCCCCGCTTCAATTGAAACCCAAATCAGCGGGACGTTTTTGTTTATTTCCCAAATCAAAGTCCGATAACGCTGAATCAGGAAAAGCACCAGTTTATCTCAATGTATATGATTTGACTCCCATGAATGGCTATGTCTATTGGGCAGGCTTTGGAATTTTTCACTCTGGTGTTGAAGGTAAGCTTATCTTCTGTTTAGGCAGTCTGCGTTTTATATTATCCGCCTAAACTTAAGCTCAACCGTGATTTTGTTTGTTGGGGACTTTACATCTTGTATGTCTTCTTGTTTTGCTCTATTCTATCTAGTTTTGGCGGTTCTGAAGTTTTGACGCAATAGATTATCGAATTACTATAAACTTGTTAATCTTCGTTCTATGATGTTTCGATAAAGTGAAGTTCAGGGTTTATGATAGTCCATTTGCATTATGCAGTTCATGGTGTAGAATATGCATTCGGAGCACATGACTACCCTACAAGTGGCGTTTTTGAGGTTGAACCTCGCCAATGCCCAGGGTTCAAGTTCAGGAAGTCTATTTTAATCGGAACAACATGCTTGGACCCTACTCAGGTTCGAGAGTTTATGGAGCGCCAGTCTTTGAACTATAACGGTGATACATATCACCTGATTGTCAAGAACTGCAACCATTTCTGCAGGGATATTTGTCGCAAGCTCACTGGAAAATCAATTCCTAAATGGGTGAATCGACTGGCAAGAATAGGTATCCTCTTTTCACCCACTCTTTTAAGGGTTGCTAGTTACATAGTCCTTTATTTGTTGTCTCTGCCTGCCTCATAAAACAGTGTTATATGGTATCACCGGTATGACTTTTGATAGGATTACTTGAGTACTTCATAAACATAGAGTGCACCTTCAGTCAGAGAGATTTCCTTTACCTTTGCTTTCAATGGCACGTATAAGCATGCTGTGTTAGCGAGAGATATATAGACATTTGAACTTTTAGAACCCATCAAACATGTTCCAGGTAAATGACTTATTGTCCCGGTTCTTTGCTAGAATACTTGTTTTGGTTGCAATTAAGTTTCTTTAGTACTTTGTAAATGATTAGAGTCATCATTCTGATAATAAGTATCGTCCTAAGAAAACGGCTTAAGCCATGCATGTTTTAAGGTCTTACCCGGGATCGAATCAAGATTCAAATTTGTGATGAATGGTGGAAAAAACAGTGGTTTGCAAAGGTAAATTAACTCTGTTCCATGTAACGGAAATGTGGTAGGTTCAGTATGCAACTGTGTACTTCCGGAATCTCTGAAGATTTCCGCTGTACAACACGACCCAAACTGCCAACCATACGACAGCGAGAAGAGGAGCTTGAGAAGCGCCTTCAGTTGCCTGTCTTCCATCTCAATGCGGCAGAAGCAATTATCATCATCTTCGTTATTTCTGCAGTCGCCCCTGAAAGGCTGCTTACCGCCATGGGAATTGCGAAGGTCGTTGAATGGTTCGTTGAAAGAAAGGTGAGAAAGTGTTTGGAAGACTTGCTCTTACGCCCCCAAATGTAATTTGTATCTAGTTTGATGACCTAGCAATTAGGGGAATTTCGAACTTGTTGCGAGAGTTTTGTGAGCGTCAGTAATTGAAGGCTGCCGTCGCTCAGATTGTTTGTGTTCTCCCAGGTTTGTGGACTCATGTTTATGACCGTTGTAACTATCAGTTTGCATGAAGAAATTGCCAAGTCAGTTCATCTACTCTTTTCAATATGTTTTATTTTTCGTGAAAACCGCACGAATTGATTTTTATGGCGCTACTTCTATCGATTTTCAATTAGATACTTTATCTTAATTTATTCACCGCAAAGAAAAAAAACGTTTATAATCGATTCGAAGTGGAGAGAGAGAGAGAGAGAGAGAGAGAGAGAGAGAGAGAGGGTTCAGAGTAAAATCTATCTTTGTTAATTTGCACTAGAAAGGATCGGATTGAGATACATCATCACACATTAGCACTATTTGGCTCTACCAAGATCAGAGCTTTATACTGGTGAAACAAAATCACAGCAAATACATGTACCAGCCCAGCTCGTCGAGATAAATCGACTTCCGCGAACCCATTCCCTCCTCCATTAGCTGAGAGAACGTAGAACCACCGGAAAACGCCTGCTTTAGGAATGCCAGCTTAAATCGACGACAGCATGCACCGTAAAAATACCGTTTCAACTTACCCGACCAAAAAATAATTCTTCAGCATTCCACATCAATTCTAATATTTCCCTATAACAAATAGAATCATACATGAATATACAGATGACGATCCGAATTAGCATTGGGAAAACAAACCTGCATGAACATGAAAGAGAGGCTTCAGATCAACAGGCGCAAAGTTTCTTCGATAGGGGTTGTAATGCATTTTAGCATGGTGAAAATACAAATATTACGATGCTTTAGCGTTAAAGGCCACAGTTTCCTTAAGCATGGTATTACAAGTTAATAATTGCACACCATGGCACATCAATAATGATGACGACCACCCCTCACTGTGGCTTGTGCAATCATGAATGAAAACTAGGAAACTCAACAGCGACGAGATATCATTTGGGAGCGAGGCCCTGAAATTTATCAATCATCTTTCTGATGCAAAACACTAGGATGGCTATTATTACCATTAAGAGCAGCATGATACCCGCTTCTCAGCAAGTCCAATATCTGCTAGAGTCATGTTGCCCTGTAAATAAAACAGAAAAATAGATGGAATCAAGTTACAAACACCAGGAGGTCGCATGATTAATATCTACCTAGTTGGTCACGCTCTCAAGCGAGAAAAGGATGTAAACTTGGTTTTGTCATATACTTTCAAGGGGAAACATATACCTCACTGGCCATCATTCTTCTGACGTTACTAGCATAGAGTTTTGGATCATCCTTTTCTTCTTGTGAGGGGTAATAAACAGGTAACCTTGTGACCTCTATGTGATTTACAAATTGACAGAGGAGAAATATCACATGGCGCACCTGGAAATAAAGTAAATAAGGTATATAAACTTAGAAGCCCAGAAGATTGAAAGGAAAACAGTCTATATGCCTGATATATTGAATCCTTATGATTTGTGTTATGTATAATTATCCTGCATGATATATGTATTTTCTCTCTACGTGTTCATGGAAATTGTTTAAGAAACACTCACCCCAGATATCGAGTCCCATGCTGGACTAAATCTGTGGTAAGGATACCTAAGAATCACCGGAAGAACTGGAGCTTTTGCCAGAAATGCTCCCGTCTTGAATGGCAGAAGGAAGTCTCCGTTTGTAGTAGTGCCCTCTGTAGAAAGATTAAAGATAAATAAATAACAAGTAACAGTAGTATAAGCATGGTTGACAACATAATGCACGTCTGCTAAAAACGAATCGCAGATCAGTTTCAGTATGGATGGAAACAAATGCAAAGCTATAAGCATCACCGATATCATTTAATTACATATGCTGCCAGAAAGCCACAATCAAGATAACATTAAATTGGTAAATGATGAGTCGAGGGACAGCTGAAAACTCTAATTGGGCTTTCTTAGAATAGAGTGTTTAAAACTATTAACCTGGGAAAAGCATTATTGGTGGGGCAGATTTATTCTGATGTGCTTCTTTAACTCTTTCAGTCACGGCACCTGCACATGACATCCAATTATTGATCAACCAACATTGCTATATAAGTAATACAACCGAAAACTCGTTATATAATCCACTTGTGATCGATCATAGTTTTCAACTTAGCTACCGCCAATAACACATGATTTATGGTGTACACATTAGTGTTTACAAAACTAGCAAAAGCAGGGAACACCCATAATTTATGTACCTGCAACTCCCTTGAAGTCTGATGACTTTGACTCCCGCTGAACATAGACACAACCCAGGCACTTGCTGTAAAAAATAACAATCCGAAAAATGAATTGACGGAATACTATGGTGACAGATAAACTACAGATTTTCAGAAACATGATGAAATTAAAGGAAGCGAAAGCCAATGCAACCAACCTGATGAGGCCTACTAGAGGAAGTTTCGCCACCGATCTCTGCACCAACAAAATCCAGGATAACAAAAAAATGGGAATCAATACATTGATAATAGGTCGAGATAGATAAAAATGGAACATCTTTCAATCAAAAATCACATCCGGTGCCATAAAATTAGTAAGAACAAGTGAAGAGAGTGGCAAACCTTGGCAACGAAGCTCGGAAACGAATTAGACATGTGATACAAGATATCCAAATACGAAACGTGATTCGATATAATCGCCCCTGGCCTTTCAGGCTCCTTCTCTGCGGCCCCATCTTTTCCCTAACCAAAAATTTAACATCAAAATTTACTACTCAAAATCTCACGAAATCAATTTTCATGCTTTAGAGAGAGAAACGGTGAGAGAGAGTACCTGGGCGGCGGGTTTGGGGTCGGAATCCGATGATATTCGATAGGTTTCGCTGATCCAATAGAAGCCGAAGATGACGAGCATAACTCTGGATAAGGCGCGGCCGCACTGGACAATCACCGCCCCCCGCCATCCGCCCATGTGCGCGTAATCCTCCTGCTCCTGCTCATCGCGATTGGGGACTTTGAAGAGCGTGCAAATCCGGCAAATCAAGTAGTACAGCACCAACACCGTCGTGGCCAGCACCACCCGTATCGGAACCAGAGTCACCAGCGCGAGCCCTAGCAGCACCTTCTCCTTCACCGGCAATCCGCCGCGTCCCATGGTGCCGTACACATCGCGTCGCACGTACGCCGCGCATTTCTTCTCAAGCTCCTGGAGCTCCTCGGCGGAGACCGAGGAGTTTGTGTCGGATTTGAGGAGCGGTCGATCGTCCTTGGGCGCCGGACCGTCGTCGCGGTCCGGCTTGGCAGGATGGGAATTGAGGTCTTTGAGTTCGGACTCCATTAGCAAAAATAACTAATTGGGGGGAGTCGGAGGCTGGCGGGGTTTTAGTGAACGGCCATCGAAACGATGGCGTTTTGGAGCGTGTAGATCTGGGAAGGATGAGTAATGTGGACCCGCGGGTAGATTGTGGTTGCGCGGGGGATGAGCGCTTGCTGGTTTGCTGCACGTCAAAATCCCTCTCTTATTTTTTTATTTATTAATAAATAAATAAATAAAAATGGCAGCAGGAAGAAGAGAGTCGGACATACGGATGAGTATTAAGGCCATCTCCAATCGAAACAGGTCAAATGGTTATAGTTTAAACATAATTTTTTGATAAAAAATCATCTACAATTAAAAGTGTTATAGACTAAATATAATTTATTATTTTAATTAAATTAATATGATTAATTAAATTAAACTATCATATTAAAATAAGGTTTTCAGACATATTTTGAGTGTCACTTGTCGTCAAATGAATAAGCCTCCAGATTTCTTATCTTTATATAATCTCAATAACTTTTTGGATAGGATTTCGGGTAACATGTGTCGTTAACGTGAGTAACTCTCCAGATTTTTTATCTCTATGTAATCTCAATAATTTTCAGATATGATTTCGAGTGACACATATCGCTAAAGTGAGTAACTCTCTAGATTTTTTATATTAATATAATCTTAATAATTTTTGGAATAAGATTTTGAGTGTCACGTGTCTATATGCAATTGGTTGTACAAATTTTAGATGAGATTATTATTTACGTGACACTTCTTATCTTCATTTTTTAATGTTATAGGAATGATGTAGGTATTTATAGGAAAAAAAATTAGAATTTTTTTTGTTAAATTCGTCCCAAAAAAAAATTCAAATTCCAACGATAACCTAACGGCAGCATGATGATGTTAACTAGTCATTGCTAACTGGCGTTATGTTGACGCTAGGTAGCCAAGCTGAAGGGCTAGCAAAATGTCAAGCTTGACATTGTAGAGCTAGAGGGCTGGCTGACCTGATTTGAGGGTTTGGGTTTGGTGAAACCCACAAGCCCTTTGGCATAGCCCTCGGTTATAGATAATTTTCGTGTTATACCGAGCTATTTTAGCCTAACCTTTTGACCCAATCGGTTGGAGATAACCTTAGAATTCCAGAAACGGAAATGTTGGTGAATTGTGGCATGTCTGATGATGAATCGATGATGCCAGCGAATTGGATAATGTCATCATCGTGATATGATTTAGACTTCCTCCTTGTTGGGCCAAATGACCCTTTAGTCAATGATTAACTAAGTATTGGTTTGGTACTGAGGTACTTTTAATAAAAAGCTAGTATAAAAAAAAACTGTGAGCTTTTTTGTGTTTGGTAAACATTCAACTTCAGTTTTTTTTTCACAGTTTTTGGTGAAAAAAGCTAAAAGTTCAAAGCAGCAAAAGCTAGTTTTGAAAAATCGGCTTTTTTTGCTTCCACAGCTTCTGCGCAAACCTAACTTGCAAGAGGCATTGAGCCCTTTAATGAAACTTTCAAACACCCAAAATGACCTTAAATAATTTAATAATTACACATAATAGCAACTTGAAAATATCGCGGACTTCAATTGGGAGGTCTTCCTCGTCGATCCCGCCACAACGCCGTTCACAGCTTTAACAATCACCATTATTGATATGAATTCCATACCCTAGGACGTTGTTTTTGCATCTGTCCTTCTTCCCATCCCTTGCCCGTCCTCTCTCACTCCCATGCCAACAAAATTGTGTCAAGAAATACCACCATATTTTCCAGTGAGGACTAGATTCGGTTTTGGGAGTGCAGATTTGCCTAGATTACCCAGATTGCACTGCTTACAGGTGACTGATCTTCCTATTTCTGCAAAGTAGGAGAGCCTAGATTGCCCAGACGGACACCAAAACTAATTTATTCCAAATACCCAAAATTAAATACAGGAAACTACTTCTTATGATCAAATTCACACTATATAGTTTCAAAAAAGAAAAAATAATTAGTCCCAGAAGAAGAAATAAACCAGCATCCTAAAGCGTTGGCCTTGCTCGATGTATATAATGAACTTCTCGAGCAGTTAGACCATGTATGTACTACAAATCATATGACAGGTGAAAAAGATTGAGGAATGGAGCAAAAAATAAAAAAGAAGAAGACGGAGCAAAAAAAAAAAAAAACTGAGAGAATTGGGGTTGTGGGGGAGACTTCTAGAGAGATGTTTTTCGTTTTTGGAAAGTTTGGTTCAGTAGTAGGGTAGTGGGAGAGACTACTCGATGCAGATGAAGAAAATTAAATTAATGGCACATCTAGTATTATATCATTTTTGGTTATTTCACACAGCCACATCTGTTTTACATAAAAGTTTACCAAACACCATAAACACTTTTACAAAAAATTTTACCAAACACTTTGCTGCTTTATTTCACAGCTACTTATTCTCACAACACAGCAGAAACAATTTTTTTTTTTTTTCAAAGCACAACAATACCAAACCAACCCGCCACAAAAGTAGATTTTGGGCCAAATTTTTTGTCATAGTTCCTGCAGTAACTTGTCACTTTTAATATGACCCTTGTAGTAAAAAAATTGTTAACTCTCCGTTTGTAAATCCTATTAGCAATTAAAGTTCAATCCTAAACTTTCATTAGTCTCTCATTAAATAAACTCACATGATTATCACGTAAAATGATTCATTTCAGTTCAAATTAAAACCCTAAAATTATATATATAAAGTGAATCAAATGTTAGTCAGAGACTCAGAGCAGAGTTTCGATCACAAGAAGATCAACAATGTATATTGTGAGTGAACTTCAAGAATTGTAACGGAAATATTTGTTATCAAGTGTGGGTTATAGCCCACGATTTTTGTAAAAAACGAGATTGTTGAGTTCTCACAAGGTATTTTGCGTACACAACAAGAAAATTGTTACAAGTAATTTGAGAGCAATTTTACCATATATTAGGTCCATATATGTATTGAATTTTAAAGCCAGAGAAGGGAAAAATAGAAAAATACTAGGGAAAACATAACGTAGCCAAAACAAAGTTCCGCCTACAAGAACATCTCCAGAAGGGCATGCATGAATTTCAAGAACAAAAAAGTTTTCTATTCCCCAACACATTTTTCACCAACCAAACGCAGCTTTCCAGAACAACACAACAAACCATATAAACTCTACATAGGTTTGGTGCAGAAAAATGCCACTAAAGTTGAAACGTTAATGGAAATGGAGAACCCTAACATATTCAACATAAACGTCTGCTAATAAGCTCACAGCTTAAACGTCTATCCAGTTTCTGTCATCACACAACTGGCATACAACGAGAAACCGCAAAGTTGCAGATGGAAATGATTGCGGGAGTGACCACTCGAACCATGGATGGATCGACCTAGAGAGATGAGTGCGCTTGTTCGCCACTCTGTTAACTACTTGAACTCATTAGTAAAACCAATTTTCCGTATTCTTGAAAGAACTGCATTCATCAGATGTCAAAGAAAATTCAAGTTGAAAAAGAACAAAGAACAATTCTACATGAGCAGTGTAATTGGTAATGAGTAGTAACTATGTGAAACGAAAGGCAAGCAATCATAGATTTCGGATTTAACAGGGCACGAACAAGATGAATCGTCAGGTATGGTTGCACTTTAAGCAGCATCAAAGTCGGATTTGACCTAGGAAAGTCAGATTCTTCGACAAAAGTTTTTGGCTATATTGCTCCAAAATACTCAACATGTCATGTTCAAGGAAAATGAAGATGTACACGACAGACCAAACACAAAAACTTCAAACGAATTTGAAATGTTCACATCATTATTGGCATTCATCACAAATGTTAAGATACCAAGCAACGAGTTTTCGATCCGTTGAAGTTCTTCATGTTAGTCATTACTAATAAGTTGTTCATCGCTTCATTTGATTTTTCATCTTTCAGAATTACGAGCTAAAGAATTCAGTTTTCGCACTTACGAGCTAACGAATTCAGAATGTGCTATAAAATAAATTCTTATTGAACCATTGCCTGTGTCAATCTGCATCTGCATACATTTTATTCTCTTACAATTTGCAGCACAAATTAACAAAGAAAGTGTCAAGCAACCATACCTTGTAAAAAGGCCATGAATCTCAGCAAGACACCCAATTCTTGTGAGTACTAATCAGAGCCGATAACATCCCGGCCAGCGATATCGAAAGCGGCCCCCAAGAACGGTCCGCCGCCATCCCGGATATCCGCCAAAGCCATTAACGCATCCGCCGAATCTTGAACCACTGACAGCCTCTTCATCATTTTCTTCTCACGCAATTTACTCAACCTCTCCTTCTCTTCCTCGCACCCGTTCCCCCTCGTAATCGCGATCTCAATGCTCGATTTTACACACTTTTCGTCCTCCGATATCCGATTCAAATCCCTAAATTTCAACGAGATGCTGCCGGCGTATCCGATGAACTCGGCCCAGGCGCTGATCTTCTGCAAATTCCGCTTCTTATCGATCAACCCCGATTTGACTAGCCAGACGAACTGCTCAACGAAAAAGTACAATCCCTCGCCGCCGTAGGCGATTAGTGCGAGTACGAGCTCCTGATTCGAATCGAATTTCGAGCTCCTCAGAGCGTTGACGTCCTGGACGAACTTACCTAACCGGAAGGCCTTGCGGCTGACGCCGACGCTCGACTCGAAGCTCTTGAGCCGCTGCGTTAGGGGGAGGGTTTCGGGGAGGACGGAGGAGGCGAGGGCGATCTTGGTGGCGTACCGGGATATCTTAAGCAGCTTGTCGACGCCATCTCGCTTCGCGAGGTAGGCTTCGAGGTGGTTCAGAAAGTCCTTTTGCTTCGGCTTCGACGGTGAATTGATTCGGTTTTGCTGGTTCAGTAATGGAGCCGTGGTTGTTGAAGCTTTCGAGTCCATGGAAAAGCAGAGCCCGAGCGAGAGAGAGAACCAGAGGAAAACTTTGTTGAGCTCTCCAAATAAATGTTAAAATGATAAATTTTAAACGTTAATTTGTTGGCTGATGTAATAATGTTTGATTTTTTTTAAAATTTTTTAATTTAATATATATTTTTGGTTATAAATGATATTTGTATAATTAATTTTTAAAAGAAATCAATTGAAATAAATTTTTAATATAAAAAAATTAAAAATTATTTGACATCATTTCTGCTTATATATCAAATTTGAAATATAAAAACTCATATATCATCAATCCACAAAAAATTAATATATCGGTTGCATCTTGTTTCTACTTTCAAATTTGATTATATGACATTTTACTTAAAATTTGAATTCTTCTTAAAAATTGTCCTAGTCGTATCAAAATGCTGTTGTTTCCACGGGAAACCGTTGTCAAGGTATTGTTTGGCATGCAAACGGGACGGGACGGAACAGAATGGGATGAGACAGGACGGGACGGAACGGAGATAGAGCAAAGATGCCCTCGGATGGAAACAAGGAGTAAGAAGAAGGAGAATGAGAGGTTATAATTTTGTGTTGGGGTGAGGGGGAACGAAAATTCACCTAAAACTCGTCCCGTGGAACAGCGCGTTCCACCCTTTTTAGGCATACCAAATGTGAGATGAAACGTCTCATCCCACTCCGTTCTAACCCGTCCCACGTACCAAACGGTACCTTGGGGAACCCATACCGCCATACGTCCGTATCCACCAGTCAGCTTGTTTTATTGATTCGTGTGCCACCGAATTTTTTTTCCTTTTTTTTTTGGAGTTTCGTGGACGGGCTTTTCATATGAGTAGATGGGCTGACTAAGAGATCGCAGTAGATCCATATTTAGTTATTGGGCTTCATTTTGAACATGTGACAATCTTTCCATACTTGCGTTCTTTACACAGGAGAAAGATCATATTTCATCATTCTCGAATAATGTATTTTCATAATGTAAACTGCATAATCGAAATCGTTTAATTTATGAACTTCATTTAAAGGCTATTTTAAAAATAAAAAAATTATTCGAATAGAAGATCATTTAGTCATCCAATTGTATCAAATAAATTGACAGTTCATCATGGATATGTTACCTAATAATCACATTGTTAATTTGTTCTATAAATTTGGAAGACTAAATGATATCTGATTTGAATGACTCTTTAATGATGATATTCAAATAAAAATTAATAAATTAAACAGTTCTGATTATAAAATTTAGATGATGAAGATACGTATTCAATAATAGTAGAATAAGTCCGATGTCGGAATTGCAAGTATTATCCTTATTCTCGTATGTTATGAAGAGTAACTAAAGTTTAACACTTATTTGTGTTATAAGTTGTGACACTCCTTTTGTTGGATTATAAACTTTTCGCACTTATGCATGCATTAAACAATACAACGGATCTCAAGCTTTTAAATTTGAGTTTTGTACATTTATCAACATTTCGCTCAACCGAACTATTATATCAATCTAAAGACAACAATTTAAAACTTAATCTGTCAATCACCAGAGACGGCGTTAAGGGGGAGCGAAATGTGCAATCGCATAAGACCCTCAAATTTAAAGGGCCTCCCAAAATTTTTTGGTATCTTATATTTATATGTAATAATGTTATATATTAAAAATAATTTTATTAGCACTTTAAAATCTTATAGTGTACTTTTTATAAGTGTAATTTTTTTTTTCTTTCTAAATAATTTTTTTTTGGAGTGCACAATGAGATAGGAGGAAACCCAATAACAAAACCTTAAAATGATTTTCTTTTCAATTTTATTGTATAATAATGCTATATATTCAAGTGAAACTTTAAAGTTAAAGTTTTTTAAGCTTTTTTTTTCCTTTATTTGGTTGCTTAAGATTGAATTGTTTTTTATTATTTAGTGAATATTATATTTGTAACTCTTTTTACTTATTTAATGACATTTGTAAACTTACAGTGAGTTATAAAAATTGTTTTGATATATGTTATTATTTTCTAGTACCAATATATTGTCCTACTTTTTAAAAAATAAAAACTATCTTAAAAAAGAACATTTTTATAAATTTAGGGCTCCCGAAATATCAGAGAGCCCTGTCAATCACAATTGATAAGTGTTAGATCGTTAAATATTTTATGGGTAAATTACATAGTAGCCCATCAGGTTTGAGCTCTATTGCAATCTCATACAACATCTTTAAAACATTTCACTTTCATACCTCAAATACTATTTTATTTCAATTTCATACAACCGTTAGATTTTTCATCCATGGATCTGTTAAATGCTGACGTGGCTGCCACATATATGACACGTGGCTGCCAAATGTCTACCACGTGGCAAATAAAATATTTTTTAATTTAAAAAAAAAACATATTTGTCATTTTTTTTTTCTCTTTCTTCTTCTTCTTCTCTCTCTTTCTTCTTCTTTTGGGTTCGGACCTTTTTTTTTTTTTTTTTTTTTCTCTTCTTCTTCTTCCTCTTTCTTCTTCTGGGTTCGGTCCTTTTTTTTTTTTTTTTTTTTCTCTTTCTTCTTCTTCTCTTTCTCTTTCTTCTTCTTCTTCTTCTTCTTCTCTTTTCTCTCTTCTTTCTTTCTTCTTCTTCTTCTTCTTCTTCTCTTTTCTCTTTCTTCTTCTTCTGGGTTCGGACCTTTTTTTTTTTTTTTCTTCTTTCTTCTCTTCTCTCTGGGTTCGGACCTTTTTTTTCTTCTTCTTCTCCCCTCCTCCTCTCTTCTTCTTCTTCTCTTCTTCTTCTTCCTCCTTTTTCTGGGTTCGGTCCCTTTTTTTTTTTTTTTTTTTCTTCTTCTTCTTCTTCTTCCTCCTCCTCTTCCTCCTCCTCTTTCTTCTTCTCCTCTTCTTCTTCTTCTGGGTTCGGATTTTTCTTTTTTCCTTTTTTTTTCTTCTTCTCTTCTTCTTCTCCTCTCCTCCTTTCTCTTCTTCTTTTCTCTTTCTCTTTCTTTCTTCTTCTGGGTTCGGACCTTTTTTTTTTCTTCCAATTTCAGGTTTTTAAAAAAAAAATTAAAAAATTATTTTATTTGCCACGTGGCAGACATTTGGCAGCCACGTGTCATATATGTGGCAGCGACGTCAGCATTTAACAGATCCATGGATGGAAAATCTAACGGTTGTATGAAATTGAAATAAAATAGTACTTGAGGTATGAAAGTGAAATGTTTTAAAGATGTTGTATGAGATTGCAATAGAGCTCAAACCTGAGGGGCTACTATATAATTTACCCATATTTTATTTATTTATTTATTTGTCAATAGATCGTTAAATTTTTACGCACATCAAACTAATCGAAGAACTAAGCCTCCCGCCACTCTTTCGCCAGTCCCTCGAGGGATCCATTAGATGACCCATAGACTTCCAAAGCTTTCACGGCAGTGCCTTGAAGCTCCCTCACCCTCCTCCTCACCCCTTCTCCTTCCTCATCCTCCAAAATCGTCCTTACCACCCTCTCCACCTCGCAACGCCCCACCACTCTCTTCCCATCATCCTCCTCCGCCTCCGGCCACACCGCAACTCCCACATCCACCAAAAACCTCGCATTCATCCTCTGTTCGGCGTACAGCGGCCACGCAATCATCGCCACCCCATGCAATACGCTCTCCAACACCGAATTCCAACCGCAGTGCGTCACAAACCCAGCCACAGACCGATGATTCAGAACTGCAACTTGCGGGGCCCACGAGGATGTCACCAATCCTCTCCCTCGCGTCCTATCCAAAAACCCTTCCGGCAAATATGACGCCGGATCGTCCGTGTTGAAACCAGCCTTAAAAAAACTCCCCGACGCGCTCGAGTCGTTTGGAGGCCGCGCCACCCAAACAAACCGTTTTTGGCTCAGCTCCAATCCCCGCGCCAACTCAATCATCTGTTCCCTCGACAAAGTCCCTCCGCTACCGAATGAGATGTAAACAACCGAACCGACTGGCTGCTCGTCCAGCCACGTCAGAAACCTCGAAGATTCCAATGTTGATGTTACTGGTTTGTCCTCTTTGGTCAACGGTCCAATGGGATAAACCGGCGGCGCTGGCAGACCAAGAAAGAAAAGGTTTTCTCTAAGGCTAAGAAGGGTCACCGGCTCGAGTTCTTCCCACGTATTTACTAAAATGCCCTTCACGGTCGGAAATCTGTTGCACATAGGTAATACTCTGGCGACAAAACTCCGGGGACAAGATCGTCAAGCAACAGGGGCTTGCAGCCGGGAACAATAACCTCCTCGGCGATTTTGGAATAATCGCCGTTGACCTCGGCGTTGATGGTGGGGAAGTACAAGGTCAACGCCAGAAGCGAAGCGGAAGAAGTCATGAAAACGTAAGTGGGGATGGAAAGGTCAGCGGCGATTTCGAGTGCTTCGATGCAGAAAGGATCGACAACGAGAGATTTGATCGGAGGTTGTAAGTTTTTCAGGACAAATGGCAGAGACTTTAGGGTTTCTTGGACGACGAGAAAGATGCGAACTGAGATACCGATGGGTTGTTGGGACACGTCGACGCGGGGGAGGCTGACGACATGGAGGTCGGAAGGGAGAGAGGGGTTGCTGAGGAGCTGGAGCTGTGCGGGTGGTGCGTCGGTGGTGATGGAAAGGAAGGTGACATGGAAGCCATGGTCAACGACGAGTCGTTTGGCTAGCTCGAGGAGTGGGGTAACGTGGCCAATCCCTGGGCTTGCTAGGACTGCCACATGCGGCTTCTTCTGGCCGGACTCCATGTATGGCTGGGATTTTCAGAAAACAGAAGTTGATATTTAAAGAAAGAAGGCCATTAATCAACTAATTAAACTTACTTTAAAATTTAATTTATTACTCTAAACACATAAATTTTTGCCAAGACTATAAAAAAACTGAAACAATCCAACCATGAAGTGATAGAAATCAACTCAACTGATCGAAAACTCCAATTCTCACCAAGAAAAAAGAGCCAAAGATATACAGTGGATTTGAGAGACAGAGACAATCTTTAACTCTGAAGAAACAGTAACGGAGACCTGAAATCAGCAGAAAGCAGCTTCCGTGGATAAGTGTTTTTGGTGTGATTGCAAAAGCAGCGGCTGATGAAATTGATAAATGGGTTTTTTTCTTAACAAGAATTTGCCTTAATTGCTCTCTCTCTCTCTCTCTCTTCAAAGGTGAGGACGTTTCCCCATTAACGAAGAAGTAAACGGAGAGCGTCGACAAGGAAGATAGACCTTGAGAGGCCGTGAGTGAGGTGCGGGTGGGGTGAGTAAGCCTTAATTAGGATGGGATCACTGCTTTGCAATTTGTTGATTATTAATAAAACGGTTTGGTTCCGGCCGGTTCTTGTTTATTCGAAACTGGAACTGGAGTTGATTTTTGACTTAAAGTTGACTTTTCCGATCAACACGGTTCTTTTCGGGTTTTTTTTCTTATACAGTTCTATGAGGTTTTACGATTTTTATGCCCACCCCTAGATGTCTTGTATCCACACACCCTCCAATTCGATTATTGTCATTAATAGAGTTAAAAATCAAATGAGTGTAAAAATAAATCCACATATTGAATTAAGTTTGTGAGGATATTGTAGATAATAAATTTGGATTTAAAAAGATACTGATAGTTTATTTAAAAATCAAATTGATGAAAAGGTACTTTAAATATAGAAAAATGTTACACATATTTAAATAAAATTTTACTTAACAGTTTCACGCGTTGGTATATTAGTCCGGTTAAGAAATATAATGTTCCTTTCATCTTCATATTTTATTTAGTTGTTGGAGTTGGAGATACGACAACCAGTAAACCTACTAACAAGACTTTAGGTTATTTTGTTTTTATTTTACAGAGCAAGACTATTAATTAATCTCGTAATGAAACAAGTACAACCGTCGGGTTTGGGGAAGGCGGGGAGGCGAGGCCATGCGGCCGAAAAAAGGACGTATCACCGATAAAATGTAAGAAGAGTTTGGTGGGACTTGGTTGCCGTCTTATAGAGATATCGAACTCAACGATAAATTAAACCGAGCACTTTACAATTTTTTATTGACCGAAAAACTCTCCGAACGATTAGTATTATGAAATCTCTTTCTAGAAAAGCCCAGACCAAAACTGACTTTCCGAAGCCGTGTAGATTCTAATTTGTAATTGGGTCTGTATGGTATTGTTTGGGCTCAAATTTACACAATCGGTTTGTGCAATCAAGGTCGTATGGTTTTAGATAGTCGAATAAGAAAGTCAAGATAATTTTATTTTGTTAAGAGATAATGTTACGGTTTTTAATCATAATAATTATCTTTTAATAAATTGTCTTGATTTTCTTGTACAAAATTGTGTAGACCCGATTTTACACTATCGGCATGTTGCGTTGAAACCATTAGATGACTACAAGACTAAACATATTTTTCTTGATATTACTATTAATTTTAATCATGGTAATTATCTTGAGAAAGATCTTTTGAGTCTGAGGAGATTAGGATAGATTAAATGGGATTAATACGGTGCGAGAATTGTGAAAGCCTATGAAGTCATGCCTTTTTGCTTGGATAAAGGATTGAACTAATCACATTTGATTTGAAAAGCATGCAACACGTGATGACTTGATTGATTCACAGTCAAACTGAGTTGGTTTGTGATTTTCCATTTGAATTAATGGAGATATGCATGCATGCAACATCTGAGGCAGTGACAAGCCCACGTGGCTTCTTGTTATCAACCTAGAGTTCCGTTTGAGATAAAATACATCTCATCAAGCACATGGCCTCATCATGAAATATAATTTGGTTTTGTGCATGCACATGATAAAGTCGTATGCGTTGGAAGAGATAAGCGACCAGATGATGGGTTGAGGGAAGAATTATAATTGAATTGCAACTCTTTACAAAATTACATGGATGTATCTGCGCATATAACTCGGGAGATGGAGTTTTGGTTGGGAAAAAACACGTCATCCAATGGGTTTACAGCCATTATAAATACATAGCCGTAGGCAACATCCGAGGGACCTCAAACTCAACACACAAACTGCCCTGTGCAAACCCTCGCTTCACTCAAAACCTCTCAAACATCTTGAGATTTTTTATTTTCTTTTTTCGCCAACACATCTTCAGTTTAGATAAACAGCACTGTGAAGGCAACCGGCGAACATCTTCAGTTTGGATAAACAACACTGTTGCCGTAGAATCAGCCGACCGTGAAACACCTTCAGTTTGGATAAATATCACTGCGAAGAGGCCGACTGGTTATTTATACAAGTCTTGGTTGAGAAGGATTTTCAAATCCTTATTGTCTGAGGTCATCTCATGAGCATTCTCTGCGAAGTGAGGTGTTACCAGGTTATTACATTCGACACCCTGAGAGCCGAATTTGATATTGAACTTTGTAGAATTAGCAGCCTTGTCTTCAGGCTCTAGAACCCGAAGGCCGAAACTGTTTCTTCCTCGGCCGCAGTCGCAAGATAAAGAAGTCAGCAGCGCACTCAACGCAACATCAACATATTTTACTCCTCGGCCGAGCTCGGCCGATGAATTGGCATGCTCGCACATAACCGAATGACGAAGTTAGCTCATTAGTTACTCGGCTTGCGCACCACGTAGGCTTGGTAGTTTTTAGGGTCAACATGTATCTAGCAATTTCTATGAGAGAAATTAAATTTGCAGGGGAAAGGCTAGCAAGACTCGCTCAACAAGTGAGTTTGCTAGGACACTCTCTCTTAGGCTTCCACATGCTGCGGAAAACCAACATCGCTAAAAATAATTTGTAAAGGCGTTTGTAAATAGATATAGAGAGGAGAGAGAGACGGACATTGACAGTTGGATATAATTGGTTGAGAATTGACGGAGCTTTGCATTGACGACTGAAACGATAGGAGTTTTCGTAAAGCTGTGGGCAGACCAAGAGAGACAGAGGTGGTCGACGGCTACCTAATATTGGAATGGGTGGTGGAGAGTTAAGAGGGAGAGATAGTTTGTGCAAGCCTAGAGGTGAAAGATGAATTAGGTGGGACTAAGCGATAAATTTGGTATTGCGGTGTCGGCAGAGAAGATGAACTTAGAGGTGTGGGGCAATGTGGTGTGGTATGGTATGTTGTTGGGTGTCACCAGAGAAGAAATAGAGAGAAAGTCAGAGTCGTCGAGGAGAGGGACTGAGAGTTTAGGAGGTTGTGAGGGAGAGAGATGGAGTTTTATTTTTTACGAGCGGTTGAGATCTAACCTCAATCAAATCTAATGGCCACATAAAAAAATAAGGAAAAATTAGCTTCTGGTCCCTAGTTTCTAATGTTCATTGACTAAGACCTTATCAGTTTTAGATTTTGATCAGAGTGTGACAGCCTGTCCCAAATTTTACGTTTTTATTAATTTTAGAAGCGTGAATTTATGAAAGTGCCCTAGAGGTAAGGACTTTGACTTTTGTTGATCATCGGTTAGAGTGGCATATGACTTATTCTTTTAGCATATCCTCGTAGTACTCGTCACTACGAACGCATAGGAGAAAGCCGTTTGCGAGTATGAATTATAACGGTATAGTTACGGACGTTTGAAGTTGGTTATGTAAGTTTGTAAGTGTCAAGGAGAATGACTTCTAGTTCTCGACCAACCTGTAATTCAGTTTTGAGTTATCACGTTGAGAAGATTACGTACTTACTTGGTTGAGATTGGGAGTCCTAATAACATGCAACTATATTCAAGAAACCTTATCATGTTTTGGCAAGAGTTTATCATAGAATAGGACTGTATCGTAACCCTAATCAATATAGAATATCCGGGTATCAGATGATAGGCCTGATATCAAGGATGGTTGGCTATATATTAGGAGGTCCCTACACTCAACAACATCCTTTTCCATTACGAGCAAACCCCTATTCTAAGCTGGAACTTCAGGCTGTTGAGTGCAGAAGATCTCCTTCTCATCTTCCTGCAGATATGGCGAGTTCTTCCCCAGGTAAGCATATTTATTTCATATATACATCCTCATATGTGCATGTGATTCTATGCATGTAGGGTTTTAATGGCTTACATGTGGTATCAGAGCAATCCACTGACATGTTTAGAATCCGCATATGCACTGTAATCAAATTAACAAAGTTCACGATCCTGATAAAAACTTCCGCATATGAAAATTGATATAATTATTGTCAATCACTAAAAACATCATGCTATTGAACTAACATTCGATTTCACTTATACACATCACATATATCAGTATATATGTGTACATATACTTGTTTTGCAAAATTTTATTTGCAGGAAAATGATGGAGTATCTCCGGATTTTGGAGAAATGCTGTCACTAAATGACTTGATAGTCATATCCTTTTGTGAATCATGATCAATTTCAACTCAAAAGTGTTTGTATCATGTTTTCAATTTAACTGTTGAAAGTTGAACATAATGATTGAACTGATGGTGAATATATTTTGTGATAATTCTAAAGAATTCTTATATTCAGTCATGTTTAATTGGTGTATAAGTGAGATGCAAACAATATTGATGCAATTTTATCTGCTCAAAAGTGTTAAAATTGTGTCGTAAATTATAAAACCTTGTATTTCAGTTGTGCAAACCCTAATATAATCAGTTTTCGATCCAAAGATGTGACTGGAATTATATGACTTTTGATGCCATTAATTGTTCATATTTTGAACTTTTAGTGATGAACTTATGAGAACATATAACGAATAATTATGGTTGATGCAGCTATGACTTCTCTCAACTTCTCTAATATTGAAACCCTAACTGGTTCCAATTATAAGAAGTGGAAAGAAGACTTAGAGATAGCCCTTGGTATGATGGATTTCGACTTGGCCTTAAGAGAAGACAAGCCTGCTGCACTGACTGATGCAAGCACAGCAGACCACAGGTTGAAGTTTGCTCAATGGGAGAAGGCAAACAGGATGGCTCTTATGATTATGAGAAGGGCTATGACAAGCAGTGTGAAATGTGGTATTCCAAAGAGTGACAGTGCAAAAGAATTCTTCGATGCAATAGGAAACAAGTTCAAAGAATTTGAGAAAGCTGAAACTGGAAATTTTCTCACAAAACTGACATCCATGAAGTTCGATGGTGTTGGAAGTGTGAGAGAACATATTCTGAAAATGTCAGACATTGCACAAAAGCTGAAAGATCTTAAGCATCAATTGACAGATCAGTTTTTAGTGCATATGGCATTAAATTCCTTACCTACACAGTATGGCCAGCTAAAGGTGTCATACAACACTCAGCAGGTAACTTGGGACATCGATGAATTAATTTCCATGTGTGCACAGGAAGAATTGAGGTTGTCAACTGATAAAGTGGAGATTGTGAATCTTGTTCACACTGCAAAAGGCAAACATGTTGTTGATCAGTCATCTGTGACTGCTGGTAAGCCGAAGAAAACC